CGCCAGGCGGAGCCGTTTGTATTCTGTCATAGGTAGGCCGAACTGTGTCAGGGAGTGGCAGAAATGGGAGACAAACTTCCCTGGCTGCAGCACGGCCAACAGTCAAACTAAAGCGAGCAGCCAGGACCACAGCCTCTGTGTCCGAGGCAGGACTGTCGGGATTTCCTCTAGAAACAAAGCCCCACTCAGTTTCCGGCCTTACCATTGAAAGAGTGATGCCCACAAGGAGTTCGTGGTCCGGTTCATGGTCCATGGCAAGCTGGCCTAGCCAGAGAGTAAAGTGCACAGAGGACCTGGCATTTAGAGCAAGGAGCTGAGGCGGACCGCCGGCCGAGACAGGATCTTCTCCACGCTTTAGACCCAGAGAGCCTGGAGGTGGTGACACAGCGAAGGCACCCGTAGGCTTTTACACTTGAACGAAACTGGCTTGACTGAGCTGGTTGAGATGAGGCTAGCTTTGAGACCATTTCCGCCTCCTGATGGATGCAGTACCAGGGAGTGAAGCAGGTGGGCAGGGCTGGGAAGTGCTTCTGAGGCCTCCAGACTGTGCGTATTTTCTCCTCTTGTTGACATCACCTGTCACAACTGGCGAGCTGTGGCTTTCCTTGAGAGTAGTGGTGCCCCGGGCTGTCTAGGAAGGCTGCGTTTGGACCACCTGAGGTGGCAGCTTCCATCTCTGCTCTATGACATCAGCGGTTGGGCCTGGCCACAGGTCTGTGCAAAAGGCAAAAGCCTTCCTGAGTGATCTCTGATAATCAGCCAGGTTGGAGAGCTAGTGACCAGAGCCAGAGAAGGGTTGGGGCAAGAAAAATGCGACCCTGCAGTTGAGCCCGATGCTCCTCTTTCAAGGCTTGCCTGGACAATGGCGAGGTTGAGCACCAGGTGAGGCTTTGCCCCTGGGTGAGTGCTCTAGCCCTCTCTGACGAGGAGGCTGGCAGTACTAGTCGGCCTGCAGGGTGCTCACCCCATGCTGAGGGGGCTGCCACAGCGGACCCTCCTTGGGTTCTGAACGCTGCGAGGCGGACGTCAGAGTGCTCACGGGTTGTAGGTGGTCAGCGCTGCCGGGCTGGCG